ACTCAACGGCGGTCAAGAACACTTGCGTGCGTATCAAGGTGATATTGGCCTCCAAGTCTAGAAGCAGCGCCACATCGCACATCGGCATCCCAAACCACCTCTTTCCTCCGAATGAGGACCTGGCAGGAACCACTCTCAAGAAGGGGAAGCCTTAGACTCAGTTCCCTCCCGCAGCAACGGAAACGACGTCTTCACTCGCCGGGGCACTGCAGGTCTTCAACTCCGTGATCTTGGCGGTCCACTCCAACATCTTGTTGGTGACCTTCCTGAGCTGAACGTCAATGCTTGGGATCAAATGGTGGATCACGCTCGAAGGCATTTGAGTCGCTGGAGCCTCCAGGAAGATCAACACCAACTCACCCAACTCTAACTGCACACCCCAACTCCAACCTATCCACCCCAACCTCACCCTCCCCAACACAACAAGTGTTTTTGCTCCTGTCCGAGCACTGGGAAGTTGCCAGCTTATGCAGCTTGGGGGCAGGAGAGAGCTTTGAGAGGTGTCTAGCCAAGAGGATACTTCACCATACGGACCATACAAGTATCTTTTGGGCATTCCAGTTGGTGTCCATTGTTGGATGACATGCGAAGAGAAGGAAAAGACACGAATCATGTCAAGGGGTCCTCCATGGGTTGGTACAAGCAACAAACATGACCAGCAATTTGTTCAGCCCAAATTCCCTTTGTGACCGGAGTTCGGTCGATTTACTCATGGGGCCATGGGTCAAAAGCCCGTACCCCCAGTGAACATCCCAATCACCACTAAAATAGACTAACATGGGTGGTGCACCTACCCCAAAATGGTACCATTGGTTTTGACCCACAGGCATGGATTTGTGAGGTCCCTTGCTGCTCGGTTGGTGCGCGGTTAACTGCCCTGTCGACTTCTCTGCTCGAGCAGCTCTGGGGCAGGGCCGCCGTTCTCGCAGTTGTACCTCGGCAAAACACAAAAACCTTCGCCTCAACGAGTCCTACACAAAGAGCCGACCTCGGGGAAACGCAGACCTAGGGGGCAAAGGCGGGAGACAAGCAACAAGAAGAAGCAGAAGAAGAAGACGAAGGCGAGGAAGAAGAAGAAGAAGAAGAAGAAGAAGAAGAAGAAGAAGAAGAAGAAGAAGAAGAAGAAGAAGAAGAAGAAGAATAAAAAGAAGAATAATCAAATCAAAAAAAGGCAAAGAACAAGAACGATGGGAATGATAAGAACAAAGTGACAGTAGAACCCTTTGATTGGTAAACAAGACTTCAAGCGCTGCCAAATGGAGAAAGTGCGGATGAGGCCGGACAAAAGGACGTCACAGGCAAGCATTGATGAATACCTCAGACTTGGGCTATGGATGATTAGTAATCAGAAGGGTCAAATAGTCGAACCCTACCTTTTCCCGAGTGTGCTGTGTACACTTTTTTTTTTTTTTTTTTTTTTTTTTTTTTTTTTTTATATATATATATAAATACATTCATAGTTTATATATGCATATATATATAGTATACATACGTATATGTATTGGTATATGTATGTATCTATATATGTTGGCACTTGACAGAAAACATACGTGCCATGGTCAATGCTCCTTATGCAGGCTATGGTCATGGTGTTCTTGATAGCAGCTCCTCAGCCAACAGGAATTCGCCTTTTCGAACTTCCTCATGGAAATCCACACCCCACAAATTACAATGCATCACCAGGATGCTTGATGCCGAAGTCGTCGTTGATGCCTCCGGCACTCGCGCACTAAGTCTGCCCAAAGATGTTCACCGACTCATTGATTCTGACTCATTGACAGGACATCAAGAAACATAACTACAATCCCAAAAGCCCTGGTCTATGACCCTTGGCTGTTTGATCGATGAGTGAGTCATGCCATGATGATGATGTGCAAGGACGGCCACCATCTGTATGCTTCCTTGAAGGAACTTTGGCACTCCACAACACGACTGGATGATGAAATGACATCGCCACTGCAGCATTCGATTTCCTCGTTCGATCTCACCGAACTATTTCCACGTCTATGTGACTAGATACGCGCAGAGGTCAACCCCTTCGCGGAAGTTCATGACAAATCAATGAATAAAGAGCGACATTATCTGAGAGTAAAACAACCTCCAACTCCAAGTGGAATTGGGCTTGCTCCCTGAAAACATGCCCGTCATGCGAGAAACTCTCCGGTGATTCCCATCTTGGCTTGCGCGCGTGCAAACACACAACACAACACAACACAACACAACACACCACACCACACCACACCACACCACACCACACCACAACACAACACAACACAACACAACACACCACACCACACCACACCACACCACACCACACCACACAACACCACACCACAACACAACACAACACAACACAACACACCACAACACAACACAACACAACACAACACAACACAACACAACACACCACACCACACCACACCACACCACACCACACCACACCACACCACACCACACCACACCACACCACACCACAACACAACACAACACAACACAACACAACACAACACAACAAAACACAACACAACACAACACAACACAACACACACACACACATGCACAAAATGCACATGACGCGGGAGAAAACAAAGTACAGCTGCCTCGAATTCGAAAGGAACATCGGATAACACAGAAGCTTTCCCGGAACGATCATACTCGTGCAGAGTTGCAAGTCCTCGTATGTGCCATGAGCAAGACAACTGCCAAGGTTGGAACATGCCAACACTCACTGCACCGGGCTAAGGGAACATCTTACAAGGACAGTCACTACCGCAGGGTACTACCCAGCTCAACAAGAAACATTTGGATCCTTTCAACTTGGCTGGAATCGGGACTCCAGCAAACATGTTTCTTTTTTGCCTGGTTAGCGGAAAGCAACGGGACCCCCCAAAAAACACAAAAAAAAACAAAAAACGAGCTAATTCTGGGGAAGTCAAGTGCTTCTGGTTTGTTTCGCACATCTGCCTCTGATCCTAAGCTCTAAAGTTTCATCTCTCCGAGAATCCTCGGCGTCTCATGGGCGAAGTTTTTGAAAATGGGCGGCTTTCCACGTGGTCCTCGAACACCCATCGCATTGTTTCACAACACATATACCCAACATCGACCTCGAAACATCTCCAAATGATATGTAACTCTAACTCAAACACTTCATGTCTTTTTCCGAGAGCCAAGCAAGACAGCTCTCTCTCTCTCTCTCTCTCTCTCTCTCTCTGTGCTTCTCGCAGGTGAATCTTGCCTCAAGAACCCTTCCAACGTTGCTTTCGAACAACAAACGCTCACGATCTGAGATTTCCCTTCAGAACCACTCCAAACAAACACCCGCCAACCAAAAAAAACACCACTGCACATGGCCATGAATTTAATCACGCCTCTCCACACCCAAAAACGACGACTCGGATCCCGATCGATCGATCGATCGCTCGCTCGATCGATCGCTTGCTGCCTCCGGGGTTGTGGCTGGCGGAGCAAATGAATCCTCCGAAGGGCTCCATGCCTTTCCCGCGGGCGCGGATCACCGCGCTGGTGGCCGGGGTGGACAGCAGTCCCCCCGTGCCGCACCTGAGATGCGAAGGCGCGAGGGCGAAGCCGGTGAGTCGAGGTGTCAAGCGGCCATCAAGGTGCCGCTATGTTTTGTTTACCAAGAGATGAGTGGAGTTTCATGATGGTGCGGTATTTTTAGGAGTTGGTTGGCCTATGAACAAGATATTTGTACCATGCGCGTTGTCCACCGGTTGTTTTTCACCCTTTGGCCTCATTGTTGCATGAGGCACACTATGCAGTTGGCTTGCCGAACAACTCAGATATATGATATGCTGCACAGCAGACGGAAATCTATGCCCAGACGAATCCAAGCCTGCGCCAAATCAAACTAAGAACTCGTATTATGTCAAGTTGGCATCCACACTTGAGAAAGAACTGTGCATCTACATAATTCCTCAATTTTGGGTGGAGCCCGCGGTCTTGAGCAGGATCACTTGCCCTTCAACCGCGGCACCACACGCGCCCCACGCCGGCAGCAAAGGCCATCTTGATGATGATCTGGATGGCCTCCGTCGCAGGCTGTTTGATTGTCAGCGAACTGAGATTTCAAAAGGCTGGTGTCATGTTGGTTTCTTTCTTGTATGGCTCGAAAGGGAGATCTCTCCCTACATCATCCTACATCCCCATGCCTCGCTGCAGGGTCCATTTGGGTGCCACCCGCAGTCTTATGGAATTCTTCGCGCTAGCAAGCACACTCCACGCGGGTGAAAACGTCTTGAACAGCTCTTCAGCATTCATCTGTAGAATCTGGGACATTGTTCCTGCTCAAATGGGAATAAGGATAAGCCGCCATCCTCATAGTGCGGACTTGGGGCGTGGGGCTTGTATAATATCGTTTCCTTGGCATCAAGAAATGGCCGGCGGAGATGGCCTCTGGAGCACGAATGATGTCTTTCTCGTTCAGCCCCAGTAGCAAACAAGTGACGAAACCCTGCCAGTCGAGGTGGCTGAAAAGGCAAGTTACGCTTGGGCCTTGCCTTTTGACCATTAACAGTTGGGTCATAACCGATCGACTGGCGGGTGAAAACGAAGACCTGGACAGTGCCTTTGCTGAGACCCTGCAAATTCTGTTCAGTCATTGAACACACACGCATGAGCTTCAACATTTTGCCACAGGTGATCAGTCTTCCACCAGCAGCTTAACTTTTTGTCAGAGGGCAAGCTGACGTTTGTTGTCTAAGTCCTCCAGTAGAGAGGTTAGAATAAGGGTACCCTGTTTTCTGTAGTCCAGTTTAGAAGGGGCCCCTCCCCCAAAAAAGACACGGTAAAAGGGCACAATCCTGGGGGACCTGGTTGTTGAGCATGAAAAGACTTCGCTAATCCAACTGATCCGCTCGCGCTCTTCGACTTCGAGCGCGGGAAGACCGACCTAAGGCCCCGCCTCGGGGTTCCAAAATCGGCCATCGCCGGAAACCACCAAGGTGCCGCCGGCCAGCGGGACACCCTCCTCCCCGAGGGTGTTGAAGACACTCTGCACGAAGTTGGCAAGATACCTGAATAGTCGGCGGGCTGAGCTACCGGCAATGATGTACGCATTGTGCAATGTACGCATGATTGTGTGTTGAAAGTTGTTGGTATGACGGATCCAGTCGGACAAGATACTCCGTTGCTCCTTGCATGCAGGAATGGTGATGGACCCTGTTGTGCGAATCCCTGCAATGTGGAAGCATGAGAATCCTGGTAAAATTCTAGAACTGCTGGAAGCGCATGAAACACGCACAAAGCGCGCGCCGGTATAGGCGATCGCTTGGTCTTTTTGACCACCCCAAATTGAGCAGTAGGCTTCAGTAGGTGGGCTGTGAAGACACACATTTCAGGAATATCTCAACTCTTAGGCTTGGCTGAACTTGAGCCGTTCTATATGGCAAGAACTATAATATCATACTGTGTGTTTGATCATTCTAATCCTACCACCACTGATATAGAAATCCTACTCATATAGGAATAAACAGCATGCTACAATATAACCACCATGTGTGTTTTTCCGTTTGGTTCCCCTTTAGCATTGCAAACAAACAGGTACCTTCAAAGAAGACACATCCGTGGTCGGCCTGCAATGAGGAATCCCTCAAGAAAGGATCCTACGAGGTCTTTCCCGTCACGACTTGTGTTCCTGTTTGCCTCGCGCAGAAACAAGCATACAGTACCGGGCCTCGCCTCTTTCGCCAAAATAGCACACGTTGGCCGTTGGCACACATCCCGTGCCAATTAAGAAGAACTTACTGGATGAATGGCGCCATTTGCTGTCACTCACCAAGTCGAAGACTTTTGAGAGGGTTCAGAACATGCGCTTGTGCGCTCTTGACCCGGTGGTTCACCAGCGTACCCAACCCACAGAGGGAGTTCATGGTTCAAAAAAAACACGGCGACAGGCTCCATCGAGGTGATTTGGGCAGCTTTGCAGCTAGTCGGTGCAACAACTTGCGGTTTGCTCACCAACATCCAATAACATCCAGGTTATGCTTTCTTCCGGTTTCCCTTTAACACCCCAAGACGGGTCGCCATTTTAGAAAAAAATGGAGCCGGAGCCGAAAGCTCTCCGCTCTCCCGTCTCAATCCGCCGTGGCACGTGCCCTCCATGAACTCCTTGGTCTTCTTTCGCAGTCCGCTGGTCCCTGGCTTCTGGCCCTCAATGGGCTTGGTGGCAATGGTCTCCACCCCCAAGTCACAGTCCACCTTCACCTCGAAAAAGGAGATCCATCACTTCGGACCCATGTGCCTTTTTGACGTGCGTCTAAAAAACACAAACATCTCAGCCTTGTTTTCAAACTTATTGTCCAATCTGGCTTGTTCCAACCTGTTCTTCGCCCCCCGCCCCGCCCCCCAAACATGGTCTTCTGATCTCCGTTTGGAAAGGGATGGGCGCAACTGCTAAATCCGGTGACGTAACCTCCATTTTAGTTTTGTGGCTTGTGGGCCAAACGTTTTTTTTGTTGGGGCTGCCCTCAGATCCCCTGCTAAAAGTTTAACTTTTGGTGGGTTAACAGGAAACTACCACTAAACACTAAAAAGCTAAAAGGCTAAGGAATCGGATGGCTGGGAGCCACCAAGCTATATATAAGTGTCCTGGGCAAAGCTACAAATGACAGCTACCATTTTCTACGTTCTGAGAATCCTTGGAGGGGCCCAGGGTGGCCTCGCGTGGCACTTGCACACCGCGCGACTGGAATGCTACATCTTCTCAGTTGTTCAGTGACCCTGGAAAAAATGGGAACCCTTTTTGGAGAAGACCATATTTAGTGGGGCAGTCACCAAACAAAAGGGGGAAAAAGGGTGCCACTGCACAACTGAGTCTTACATGCGCATGGCCACGGGAATTCCAGAGTCAGTTTCAGAAATCGAAACCGTGCAATGCGAAACTTCTCGACCAGGGCGGCCTGTCATGCAGGAAGGACCTTTGCCCTTACCAACCGATATATGGACTTGTCCCCTTTTGATGGTACCCCCTTTTGGTTGGTTGTAAAGGGAATCCACGAGGAAAACCCGGCATTTTTTGGGGTCCCCTAAACAAGATGAAACAAATATCAAGCTTGACTTCCACAACTCATCTTGGAGCCAAGTCGCCATGGCGATTTCGCGAAATGGAAAGGCGAACCGTCCACAGGCGCTACTGGCTTGATCTCAGAGCTGCGGGAGACCTCATGTCTGCGCTACATGCACAATGATTACAACACCACTTCCATTTTTTGAATGGGAACTGAGATTCCAGTCAAGCAGTATCCCTTGCTTGCTTTGTGGAAATCCTATTGATTCAAGTACACACCATCCAACAAGTACAAGTGTCTTACGGCCAAGGGTACGGGAATCTTCCTATTTTGGGCTCCAAACTAAGGCCTTACCCGAAATCATCACACTCGTGCGTAATATCAGCGTTTGCCACGGATGACACAGAACATGCGTCAGCAACAGGTTGAACAGGACATCGCAATGGACACCATACGACACCTGATTTGAAATCGTGCCAAGTGCAGTCAGGTGAAATACATCCCAAATGGCCACAATATACATGATCAGTTGATAGAATGCTCGAATCAAACTGTTGTAAGTGCGTGCATTGAACTGGAAACCTGCCGGTCAGAGCACTGCCATGTTTTTCGAGGCAGGCTTGTTGCCAACAAACCTTGTGACTGAATCCCACTGTTGCTTGCTGCATCTTTTCCAAAACCGCTGAAAAACGCACGAACAGGGTTCAACGAAACGAGCCGCAGGGTTCGCCAAGTGGTTCCCAACCGCGGCTTCCAGCCTTGGATGTGGCCACCAGAAGGGCGACGTCTTGGATGCACCGCGTAACCGCCGCCTGATCACCGCGAGGTGCTTGGCAAGCAGCAATCAGCAGTCAGATCCTGAAGCAAAAGCAGGTTTCCAGCAAAAACAATTGGCTTCAAATGAAGTAAACATGCAGCCAACAATTTTGGAAGCACCGTACCCCATTCATTGATTCATGGAGTTATCAGAAGATGCATCAGTTTCAATTCGCAGGTATCCACAGAATGGCACGGAACAACCCTACTGAATGATCAAGGCATAAGCATCAGAAGCCTGTGAAGCCACATATCACTGTTGCCTTCTGACGCTTGACAACCTTTTCAGGAAATCACCTGTACCTAGGATGCATTGATTCCCTGCGGCCAGTAAACATTGACCTGCATGGGATGATTGTGTTGTAGACTCTGTCTATTTTTGTTCCATCCGCTGTCACTGGTCGGGAATAATAAAGATACCAACTAAATCATGCAAGCACCGCACTAGCAGCTTTATGGGAATCCACGTTACCGAAAGGACCAAGTGCGGCTCCTGCCAGCTTGTGTTGCTGGATGAAGCAAGCCATTGAATCAGTGGCCACCCCCTATTTCAGACCCACCTCAAGTTTCGCCCGTTTCACATTCAGCGTTGGTCGCCATAAGTTTGACCAAACATATGCCTACACAGTGGTTCGGAAGGATGGCATTTCTTTAGGTAGGCTTGGCCTGGGTCTGTTTGTCCATCTGTCTACCTGTCGGCCGTCTATCCGTCCGTCGCTGTCTTTGTCTCCCTCAGTCAGTCAGTCGGTCGCTGGGTCGGTTGGTCGGTGTGCTGCTTGGTCCGCCGGATGTCTGATGCTTTGAGTCATAATCAAAACCCGGCAGGAACCATGTAACCGCAACTATTTCTGGCTGGGACTGTCCCTTACTAACCTTCATCTACCCGTGTTTTGAGCACGTGGCTCCTTTGCATCTGGGGTTTCTGAGCTCGCACCTCAGCCCCCCGCTTTCACCTGCTCCGAAGCACCGCTGCCCTGCGCGTGCCCAGCGAAGGTCAGGCGGTGTCAGTTGGACCGGGCCGCCCTCTCCAACTAGCTGGCCCTGTGACCTTCTCCTGTCGCCTGGATTCTCAGATGGCACCTTGCCTGTCATTCCCTAGTAGTATTCTTGTTGAGGTGCGTAACCACACATCCTGCCAATGTACAACTGGACATTCTAAGGTAGATGAACGAACCTCGAGTGGCAGCCAAGGGCACAACGTTTCCTGAGTAGCACATTGATGTCAAGGCTTGCCAGGGCGTCCTCTGCCAACTTATGTCTGAAACACGTAAAGCTGACTTTTCTTTCAGTGACCCGCATGGGTCCTAACAAATGGCCATGGATGGCCAACAAATAGGTTTCAACAAATGTATGCTGCACACATGTACTGTTGGTTTAAGCGGTCGGAACCCGCTAAACGGCCATGCCTGGTCGGCTCAAGCGCAAAAGGCAGTACCAGGAGATCAAGGGTCATGCTTCAAGGTTGAAGGCCCTCTAGTTCACATTGAGCTAGTTGTTCGGACCGGCTCCAAATACAACTGCCTGCCAGTAGGCAAAGACCATGTCAACGAAGAACACGACCTTGGCACGCCCTTGGGGCCGTTTCGAGCATCGCCTGATGTCTCGTGCCAGTTTGTATTTGCACCTTTTCGGTCTGATACTTCTCGTTTTTGGCTCCACTGCACACCCACAACTACCCGTTTGATGCGCATCCAGCGGGATCTTCAAATCAAAGCTTTGGCCCGCGCTGACTCGCAGTGGCTACCAATGGATTCAAGGACGCATGTCCTTCCAGGCTCACTTGTGGTCATTCCACAGCACATCCTAACCCCTTGGCCCTTGCTAATCCTCACCCGCAAGAACTTCATGATCGACTCCCAGGCTCATGATTTGGGCTTGTCTCGCAGGCTGGATGAGGCATGTCTAATCAATCAGGCACTAGTGGCTGAGATTAAATATTCCAGACAGGGATGTGATATGAGCTGGGCCAATCACTTGTTTAGAAGTCAAATGTTGATACATCTTCGTTTTTGCTCTTCGTTGAAAAACGACTGTTGCATGATCATCCTGATCTCACTCAGGTATTCAGTCACTTTGACCAGGGGGCAATCGGTCCTTGCCCGCAAGCAGATCTAACAGCGCTCCCAACAACCCGCTCAAGAACAATCTCGCCCCTTCCACTTCGCGGACATCCTTTCGTTTTGGGAGGTAGGGGCTAGGGGTGTGCTCCTCAAAAAAAACCGCCCGCGCGTGTCGTCTTGGGGTAAAGGAAAACCAACAGAAGACACAGCCTCGCGTGGTTTTTTTGGGGTGGTAAAGGAAAACCAACACAACACACCAACCACCTAAGGGGTTGAAACCGCCCGCGCATGTTTCTTTATTGGGGCGGTAAAGGAAAACCAACAGAAAACACAGCCGCGCGTGTCTTTTTGGGGTGGCAAAGAAAAAACAACACAACACACCGAAAAAGCAAGCCGCCAATCACTTGTTTAGAACTCAACTGTTGATACATCTTGGTTTTTGCTCTCCGTTGAACAACACACCAACCACCGTAGGGGAAAAAATAGTAAAACATATCTTGAAAGAAGTAAAATAATTTTCAGAACAACTTACCAAAATATAAAATATAGGTTTATAATTCAAATATTAAATAAGGTTAATACATTATTCATATTCATTAACCTTATCTAATTACTTGAAAATAATTTTACTTCATTGAAATATTATATAAGGTTAAGAAGTTATTCTACATATTTACCTTATACAATTTTATGTAAAAATATTAATAAAATAGTGTTAATTCTCTTCTGCCTGTTTCATTTCTAAATTTCGTTTATGCTTATTTGTTTTAAGATGTTGCTTTTTTAAACATGGAGAAAAATAGCAGTCACAAATATCACACTGAATTTTTATACTGTTCCATTTTCTATTACTTTCAAGTGTTTTATTTCTATATTCATCATCTTCTTCATATCTTTTTCTTTGCTCCTCATTGTATCTATCTTTATGTTTAATTCGGTTATTCCTTTTGTTTTCTGAACATTGCCTGCATTGTTTATTATCTTTATTAAATTCGTCAAATAGTTTCATTCTACCACAGTTTCTACATAATTTTCCATTATCAGTTTTGAATGAACCGTTTTCCAAAATTCCTTCATACATTTTACCTTTAATTAAAACACAAATGTTTCCTTCCATAGTTCTTATAAAACAATGTCCTTAAACCTTTAAATACATTTTAAGAAATTCCTATAATCAATATTCCTTGAAACTAAATTCCCAAAATCCCAAAATATAAAATCCCCATAATTTCAAAACATAAATCTTACAATGTTTTTTATTGTAAGGTTTATGGGTTAAAATAATAGTCAGGCAATATTAATGGAGGAGGACATGACCTGCCACACAAAAGGGGGGCAGCCAGCCACACAAAAGGGGGGCAGCCAGCCACACAAAAGGGGGGCAGCCAGCCACACAAAAGGGGGGCAGCCAGCCACACAAAAGGGGGGCAGCCAGCCACACAAAAGGGGGGCAGCCAGCCACACAAAAGGGGGGCAGCCAGCCACACAAAAGGGGGGCAGCCAGCCACACAAAAGGGGGGCAGCCAGCCACCCAAAAGGGGGGCAGCCAGCCACACAAAAGGGGGGCAGCCAGCCACACAAAAGGGGGGCAGCCAGCCACACAAAAGGGGGGCAGCCAGCCACACAAAAGGGGGGCAGCCACTAAATGACATTTTCCTCGAGTTTCAAGCACAACCCCAACTCAAATTCCTTAATCCACCAAACTCGTCAAAATCTCACAAATCAATTCAGCAGGTATTTTGTATAAATCTTCCTGCTTATGTATTACATAATTATCCCCACATTCTGCTTTAGTTTTTGATGGCAGTCGTTCCAACTGAACCTGTGCCTGAAAATAATTCTAATAAATTCATATTATTAGAATTATTTAGAAATTTATTATATTAGTTCGTATTTTCCTTCTTCGTTCTTAAACAGTTTATAAAATTCAATAGTTTCTGTTTTTGGGGATTTAATTTTGTTCTTATTTAACATGTCCATATATTGCTTTTGCTTATCTTGAAAACTGCCAGACGGCCTTCCTATTTGTTTCTTTTCAAAGATTTTATCAATCTTTTCCTTCTCTTCATTGCTATTTTTTGGTTCGTTTGCCTTTGCATCAAGTTTCTCGTCAATAGTTTTTATCATCTCGTACAACAGTTCAACATTTTTACTAACTGTCATCATCTTCTTTGATAGTTCAGCAATAGCATCATTCTCAACTTCAGACATTTCTATATATATTTATTTATATAATTATTTATTTAAATATTTATTTATAAAATTGAT